CTCCGTGTCTCCACAGGCCAGGAAAACGGCCGGCAAAGCTGGCTCCCAGTCTGTCCTCAAAAACGGAGGGGCATGTAGCCAACCTTCTTCTTCTTTTTTTTTTTTTTGCTTTTTTTTTTTTTTTGCCAAGCTTCTTAAGTCTACAGTGCCGGTCTCTTTGGCCCAGCTTTGCCCGGCCGCTGCAGGTCTCAGAGCCCAGGCAGATGAGCTTCGAAAATTTGGGCCCAGGCCCATTCTAGAGCCTACGGGCGGCTGCGTTTCTCAGGGCGTCCTATGAGGGTTTTGAGGCCTCCTTGGAGTCGCCAGATGATCTGGCGCCACTTGTTCGCCTTGTCGCCATAGCCTCAACTTCAGTCGCAGTACCTGGGCTTTGGCCTTTGCTCAGGAGCCAGCCCAGGGCCTGCGCTCCCCTCTAGAGCGTGGCAGACCCTGGCGCTGCTGCCCGGCCTGGTCGGGGAATGGACCAATAGGGAGAATTAGGACAGGGCTCACCCGGCAGAAAATAACACCGGCCAGGGGTTTCTCTGGGATCTTCTAGTTTCCACAGCCCCACCCTAGAAAATGATCAATGTAGGAGGAGGCTCAGGGAACCCGTAGGCGTGGATACATTTTGTTGGCCCATGGCCTCGCCCCGGCCTTGCTTCAAACTACAGCTCAGGAACGCCCTCTCAGAGGCCTCTACTCCTGAAGCTAGTAGTTTGGATATTTAGTTGCTAAATCGTAGCGAAGGTCTCTGTACTTGGGTGGCTGCACCAGCAGTCCTGGCTCCTCCCTGGCTGAACTCGAACCTGGCTCGGATGCGGCGGCTGTAGCCCCGCCAAGCCCCGCACACCCTCCCCAGCAGCCTCCCTATCAAGTGTGCCGGAGGTGCTCGGGGCTGCACCGCGCACTGGGTGGTCGGGCAGAGGCAACCCCAATACAGGCCAACTGCTAGGCCGCGGACAAAGGGGAAATGGAGCTCGACGCCCCGGACCTGTTGGAAGCATTTGTTCCAGTCAAGATTTTGCATTTGTTCAGTCCGGAATAATGCGTGATTGACGTCTGCTCACAATGCGCTTTAGCGCGCGGGGATAAATCGGAGCTTGTCCGGTGTTGTCATGGTTTTCAATGGGGTTCAATGGGATTGGGAGCACGATCAACTCTGCTGGCCGTCTTTCCATGGCCCCGGCAATAGATTTATTAGTTATGTCTTTTTAAATAAGATTAAACTGAAATGACTTGGCTGTCTTCTCTGCAGACGGGGCCCGGGTGGGAACCTGGAGTGGACAGAGGGCATCGGAGTCTGGAAACCCGCCTTTCGCAGCGTCCCAGTTCCCGATCCCCCAGCATCTAGAGAGTGGGCAGGTCGCAGAATGGCTCCAGGCCTCGCGGACTTGTCTCTGGCCGGAGCCCAAGGCCTGGCAATCTCTGCCAGCCTACCTTCCTAGTGAGAAGTTGAGGAACTGTCAAAGACCGTCTTGGGGAAGCAAACGTTAAGACTGATTCTTGAACTATGAGGTCTTGAACTATGAGGCTGTGTCACGTAGTAGGAGCTCTGGCCTAGAAATCGGTTTGTATCCTCGCTCTGCCCCTACCTAGCTCTAACCACCTCACTTCTCTAAGCTTCCTTTTTTTTTTTTTTTTTTTAATTCGTCTGATACAGAAGAGAATAGGAGAATACATTTGGCAATTTCTAAGGACCCTACCAGTTTTATGATTCTGTATGCCAGGAATTTTTCTAAACCTGTCTTCATTGTAACATTTACCAGCTGGTCATTTAGACTCCTTCCTCCCTCCAGTTCTTGAATTCTTAGCCCCAGCACTGACTCCTTCTCTAGGATGTTCTAGGAAAGGAGTTGTTATCTTTCCAGTTTCTCAAGGATCCTCCACAGGAGTAGGGTGGGGTGAATAACAATTTAGGGTAGAGAACCAAGTCAGGAGAAGCAAAAGAAGAGTCTTTCCTTGAGGGACTGACCTCTCTTAGCCTTTTAATCTATTTAACATCCTAAGCCCACACTGACATGTAGAAATAAGTAAATGGTGCTCTTCAGCTCTTAAGAGCTCTTCAGCATCAAATATTTGCTCTTACTCTTAGTGTTTGGTTCCTAAAGCAGAGATACATCCACCATCTAGCATTTGTGCTCTGGGGAGGACTTGGCCCTGGGATTTGCTCCAAATATTGCTGCTGGCTTCATGTTCCCTGGCTTGGGGAAGAGTGTTCCTGGGCCTCGGTCTGCATTTTAGATGTCCCAGGAAAACCCTGTAGCTCCTGGTTCTAAAAAGGGCTGCAACTTCCTGGCTTGATCTTGGATTCCCTTCTCCTCTGCCATAAGTGCCTCTGCTATAGGCCAACCTTCCTCTCAACTCTGTTCTGCAGATTTAGCTGAATTATCTCTGAGAGCTAGAACCCAGGGGCTCCAATAAATTGTTCCATATAAACTGTGCTTTTTGAAAAAATGTAGTAAAGCCAGAATTAGAGAAAGGTACTTTCTATATTGCCTTTTCACATCAGATAAATTCATAGACATGGGAGGGAGGAAATTATTTTGATATTGGGTCAATAGGAAAAGGCAGTCAACTTAATCATAAGTGTTTTTATGCATTGGAGATAATGTACAAATTGCCTCCAATTCCCAGGAGATTCTTAAAGTCACAAGTAAGCATCTAACTGGACATTATTTCCAGATTTTCGTATATGTTTGGTGTTCTGGACACTTGAACTTATTTGCAGCTTAACAAAGCTTGTGAATATTATTATTTAATTAGATAAGTATTTGTTTTCTTGTAATTGAATATAGTATGTCTCAATTCCACTAAGAGTTTTTAATCTTTAGGCATCTGTAATATATGAATATATTTAAGCTGTCCACAATAATCATCCTTTCAGAAGTATTTATCAGAGATGATTATCATTACTACATGCTTAAGATTTTAAGACCAGAAAATTCTGAACTAAAACTAAAGCATCTTGATTTTGAAAAAGTGATTGTGTCTATATCTTGCATTCTGTTTTTAAATCCTTCAATTTTGGTTAAGTGTTTCACAAAATCCTGCAAATCTATACAGTATTGAAGAGAGGCAACATTGCAAATTCCCCTTGATACATGGAGGGCCCTCAACTGCCAGGACATTTTTCTTTGCCTCATAGCAACTGCTCTCCCCTCTTTATCAGTATTCTGGTTAAAATAGCAAAAGGAAAATAAAAATGGGGTTCTGACACTTCCAAGAAGTGGATGATCTCGATTGGTCATAGGATGTAAGGAAAAGGTGTCATTTAAAATCAGATCTCTTTGCCTTTCTTTCTAGAAACTAGTTGCCATGAGCAGGTAAACATTTCCCTTCTGATGGCTAATAATCAATTGCTTAACAGTAGACCAGGCTTGCCTGTGATTCTTTCTTAGTTATATTGATTATATACACACATAGGACAAAGAACAGCAATTACTTTCAGGCTGGGAATTTAGTTCATTTTTTGAAATGGCTTTAGATTTTATTATTTAATGCCAAATGACAAGATTTGAATGCTCCTACCTTCGGTCTCTTAAAATAATGATTCTACATTGACTTTGTTATTGTTCTTGATCTCTAGAGGACAAGTTTTCCTTTCCTTATATGTTTATCTAGTTGTTTTAAATATGTACATGAGAAAATATATAGAGGATAAAATGGTTCAATGAATTGAAAAATAAATTTATTTTATTAAATATCCATACTTTCATTTGCTAAAAAGCCAGAAAATAACTTTTTAAATTTTCATTAGTTTATTAAATATTCTGGTCTTCCTTATGCCTTACAGTGGATAACTGTGTTGGCATGATATGTAAGTTAGCAGAATAAAAATATAACACACCTTGGAGGAGGAGTGTCAGATCTTATTTGTCCAGAGCTGAACCTCTTGTTTTTGTCTAAGTTTTTTTAAAGGTATCATTTTATACTCCTTTGCTCAACTGATATAGATGTAGTTTCTATAACACAGAATTCTTATTTATGTTTACACAATAAAGATCCAGGCACTAAGTCACATTTAATGCTACATACAGACACTAACAGGTTGAGTGACTCCAGATCATATTCAATGATCTCAGCCCCAGTATCTCACATGGGTCTACCCATAGTGTGTGCTTATAACCAACCACCAACACTTCAGTTCAAACCAGTTATTATTTTTTTAAAGTACCCAAGCATTATAATGGGGCCTTTTAAAATATACCTTTACTTTGCTCTTAGATCATCTCTGGAATTCTAAAAGGATCACATTATTAAGGTGAGGTATTATTTTTGTCTTACTTGACAGCAATTTAAACAAAACACTAAAGCTTCATTTTGTGAAGTATTTGTTAATATTCTGTAAAGACAGGGATTACAGTCTTTCAAATGGCCAAAAAATCAGATGTCCGATTCTCTTATTGATGTCAATGATAATAGTAATAAACATATCACTTTATATTTTACACATTTGAGAACGTTTACAGTGTATACTCACACTTGTCTCAGCCTCAGTCACAACAGATTATCTGGAAGATGCAAAACTTAAAGAGAGACTTGAAGGCAAGATAAATTGAGATATCCCTAGAATTGAAGAAATTAGTAGGGAGAATGAAGGGGACGTAAAGAAGAGAAAGAGAGTCCATTGTAATAGAAGGTATTAGAAAAGAATAATAAAAAGTGGAAGAGAAAGAGAGCATGTGCTAGCTTAGAAGCTACCAGTTCAATTTGGTCTCATCAACTCGAAGAGGATAAAAGCATGGATGGAGAAGTTCCAGTTGATAGTGGCTTTTATATTCTTTCCCAAAATCTTTGTAGTTCAAAAAATTCATGACAATAGATAAGCTTTAGTTTTTAAAACACTTCAAGTTTTTCTAGATCCTATTTAGTTTACTCTTAAATTTTCCTTTGGAAAAATCTTTTCCCCTCTTCCAAGAGGAGGCAAAAATACACAACAGGAGCAAGAAATGACAACTTGCAGGAATTTCCCCACAAAAAAGTAAAAGAACTATATATGTTTACTGCAGCCTCTGGAAATCCCTTACCCAGCAAAGGTGGCTGTCTTTGTATTCTTGATTAAATGGGTATTTGCACTGAAGTCACATACCACACAAAGGAAACAAAACAAAATAAAAATGTCCTCCGTGTTCTGTTTTTCAATCATTTGTGTGAAGGAGGTTCCTGGCCTTTATCACTGTCAGTGAAAAGTTCTTCATTGGCAGGAGACATTCCACTCACCCTTCTTCTTGTGCACAGGGAGCTTACCATGGAAACTACCTCTGGAGCCATCAGACAAATATATAAATGACAAAGCTCCACGCTGGGCATTTTAGGTTTAGCGACAGGGTACAATGAAGGGTGTTTAGAATTTCTTGAGAAATTTATTGTTCTATTTGTCTTGCTCTGAATCTTAAAACCCATAAATTGGACTTATTCAAGTTAGGAAACAACTAAGAAATGACTTTATCTAAGGAAATTCTCTCTGACACAAAAATATATATGCCATGTTTAATGTAACAAGTATAGTAAAGCTGTGCTTTCTGTGCTTTCCTGTATATTTAAATGGTAGCTTCAGTATACCCAGGATAAGAAATTCATCCTTAATATATGTTTGTATTTTTAAATCAGGTATGGCCTTTAATTAGGTGAAACAAACAAAAAAAAGCGTCATATTTTTTTCAATACTGACCACATTTCTTTTGTCAACAAGCGCCATCCTAAAGTGTCCTTGGCTTATTCTTAAACGTAACATTTTGCTTTGTAACATGTACCTGAGGAAAGAAGAGAGCACTTCAGAGAACTTTCATTGTATTTTTTGGATTCCATGTTTTCTCAAGCTTTCATTTAATTTATAAACAACCCCAGGTTACTTCCCCACAGTTTCCAGCAAGTCTGTTTCCAGCTTTCCTCTGTCCATGGTCCACATGAACTAACAGTGAAGACCATCTGTGCCTGACACATCCACCCATGAGCAGCGTGTTTCCAGTGCTCATTTTCATTAGCAGCTCCTCACGTCAAGTCAGTTTACATAAATCGACTCATATATTCCTGGATGGCTATGTCATCAGTATGTGCACCTTTTTATACACAATGAAAACCCAGTTTTTTTTTTTCTTGGGCACTGGAAATGTGACTATGTTAGGTTAGTTTGTAGTATGAGAAAGAAAATAGACAGTCACAGATGCTATTGTAGTTGCTTCTTTAGGTTTGGCTACTTCAAAAACAAAACAAAACCTTCCCTTTAAAAATTTTTCTTACACAAAATGATTGGGCTATAAGGCAAATTTAGAGGGGGAAAATCAAAGGTATAAATTTGTACCTAAAGTTAAACATTCTATTTCTTATGTATTATTAAAATGATTTTATAATGATGAATTTTGTGAAAGCTCAGATGTCAGAATGCAGGGGTTACCCAAGATCATTAGCAGGTCATCCCTGGTGAATTTAGCCTTCTGTTTTTTTCTATAATAAAAACAAAAACTACTCAAGTTCCGCGAATTATCATTTTAATCATCCCTCTTGTAGAACCATCAGGAAACGTACATGAATATCTCTTTTCATGAATCACACTGTGTTTTTCTGCTGTTGAGATTTTCTGTTATTCAAATCCTAGGGAAGCTGGGTGAGATCCTGATTCTCCCAGCAGCTGAGGGATCACAAGACCATCTCTAAGGCGGAGGATGGGGGTGGGGATGAGGGGAGAAACCTGCAAGTGTCTCTAACTGAATCTGAGGTAGTTTACTCTGAAAGGAGAAGGGCGGGACTGGGTGAAGGGAAGGAGGAAGGGAGGAGAAAGTGAGAGTGAGTTCTTGTCTCAGCTTAGGGATCCCCCATCTCCAGCCAGCCAAGGCTTTTACCAGCCGGAGGGTGGTAAAGGGAAGGCAAGTGGCAGGGAGTCAGTTTTGTCACCCCTAGAATACCACACCACCAAGTGTAGAGGAGAAAGGGCTTGGTGGTTTGTTCCAATGCCAATTAAGGGACCTGAAGGCCTGTACATTTTAAAAGTCCACAGAGGGAACAAAGTCTGGTATATAGGGATCCTGTTGTGATTTGTTTTTTATTTTGTTTTATTTGGTTGGTTGATTGGGTTTTTTGTGTGTGGGTATTTTTTTTCTCAGCATCTCAGTGACTAGCAGTGTGGCTTTATCTGGTTTAAGTTGTATTTGTTTCCAAACAGCTTAGTCTGTTACAATGCTAATTGGGTAGCACAGAAACCCCTTTGCAAGTCGAATATTTTTAAAAGTTAACTTACCCCAGCAATGAACACAGATTGAAAGTCAGTTAAAAGCCAGTGAGAACAAATGTGTCTTAAATTGAGGATGGAACAAAGGGAAGGTGGGGGCACATCTCTTAATGTCAATAGGCAGAAAGCTGCACGTGCACAATGGGCATGGAAACGACCACCCAAGGTGATTCATGTCAGTCCTGGAGACCAACAGAGACCTGGAGCCTGGGGGCCAGGCCAGCCACCCAGAGTTCTGCCCAGGAGGGAGTTGAGGTGGTGGGAAATTGTCATATTCTTGTTCCAAGCTATGCTATATCCACAGCCGATTTTCTGCTTCCAAGTACGACCAAAATGTCAGGAGGTTCTGCTCTCTGGCTGCTGTGGACAGCAAGCACACTCTGTGGATCCAGAAGGCTGTTCATGAGAGTGACTAAGCACTAACTAGAGTCACAGAATTATGCAAAATGTACAGCCCCCTCCAAGCCCCAGCACGACTGTCCACATACCTCGTTTTATCATTAGTAGCATGCAGGTCTCTCAAGGGGCAGAATTTTGAGAAAATTATAATCCACAAATATATGGTAAGTAACTCATGAGCACCAGGCACTGCGCTAGTACTGAGGCTGATCTAGTCAAGTATAGTTAACAGTTCATAACAAGCAACCTGATTTTTCTTTCTAACATGTACCAGATTTAGGGATCAAATAGACAGAACTAGATCTGGGTTCCTCATCTGACTCTCCCAGTAGCACCTAAATGACCTTGATCAAGTTTTGTAATTTCTTCGAACTACGGTTTCCTCATGTATAAATGGAAATAATAATTCATACAGGGGTTGTGATGACTGAGATGTTTGTTTCACATGCTTGGCATAGTGCTTGCCCACAGTTAGTAGGTACTCATGTGGCAATTGTTGTAATAATAATGTATCTTGGGAAAAGTGAGATGCTTATCAGTTTTACCCCCATATAACCAACTGGGAGATGTTCTGTAATACATTTAGGAATATCAGTCACAGAGCTGAAGAGAACTTATCTAGTTCAACCCTTTCCTTTCACAGAAGAAACGGAGGCACAGAGGGAGGTTGGGTGACTTGCCCAGAATCTCACAGAGCCTGGCTTGGAGCCCAGATGTTGCTAATCCAGGGTTCTTTTTACTTCAGCATACCCTCCATTATGAGTCCCCAAGTAGCCTTTCTTCTAACAGTGTAACAGAAAGCTGCCTATAGAAGAGGTGTCTTTAAACTCAGACAGTCCAGTTTCAGATTTTGGCCTCAGGCCTGCTTTGGTCTCCTGGCTTTCAAATCTCTGCTGGCAATGCAAAGGCTCTCATCGCACTTTAATAGAAGGATAGAGGCTCCCAAGCCCTAATGTTTTCATTTCTGGGCAGCTCCGTTGCTGCTTCAGGTTTTTTTCCCCTGGAGTCTCTGTGCTTCAGGATTCATTCTTTCTAGCATGTGAGTCCCTGAAGTAGCATTTGAATCCTCTCAATTCAGCCAGAGCATCTTGTAGTAAAAATTTTCTCTTTAGAACATGTGAAACACCCCATAAGAACAGAATCAGATGAACTGGAAACAAATGCACTTGCTGGAAAGGACCAGAAACAGGCAAAGGTTGACTGCTTTAGAAAAGCAAAGGGAAATGCATTGAGGTTTTTCTGGTTTTTTTTTGGGGGGGGGTGTATAATTCTTTGCCTACTGAGAAAATAGAGAACAGAGAAAAGAGAATGGCAGGTTACAGAAAAGCTGTGTCACATCAGGCCCCTGGATTTACCTGGAAGACAGTGTGAATGTGGTGGGTGGAGGGCAGGCTCCTGCATTCTTCATCTGTGCCTGCCTGACAGTGGCTAGAGAGTCCCCATTCTGCAGGGAGAAGCCAGCTGGCTCCCAGTCCGTCCTCAAAAACAAGGTCATATTATTTTGTTTTCCGAGTTTCTTAAGCTCGTGCAATCAAAATCATCTGATTTTCCTCTTAGTTGCCCTCTGAGCATTTCAAGTTGCTAATTCCATCTTCCTAGTTAGACTGTAAGCCTCTCCAGGATAGGCACCATGTGCTCTGTATTTCTTCTGTGTTCTCAAAAGAAAAACTTGATTTTGGGGGGGTTGACACAGAATATATTGCTAAACATATGACAAATGGACTTTTTGAGTGTAAAAATGTCTCATTAGAAGGAACATGTTCCTTCTATGCCATAGTGCATCTAATCAGATAAAGATAGAGACAGAGATTAACTTCCCACCCAAGCAAAGTTGTATTAAAGCATTTCCTGCCAGAGGTATTGTGGAATGCCATGGGCAAAGGGTACGGTCGAAAGAGGTCACCTTTTATTTGAAAGAAATGGTAGTCTTTCTGTTCTCCGAGCAAGTAAAAGGGGATTTTGCTGTTTATCCTTGGTCTGTATAAGACACAATAGATGATAACAGCTGATTGAGAATAGTTAGTCTAGTGTATAAATATGTACACATGGGTAAGTATGTATTTAGACAATTTAAAAGTGTGTCTCATTTACCCAATTATAAACAGCTGTCTGAGAGCAATTACGATTTATCATGTAAATGCTTATTTGCATAATTCAAAATATGAATATTATTTGCTTGATAAAGACTGTAAATAAAAGGCAACACGAACTTTCTCATGCTTAGAGTTTTATGCTAAGTTTTTACCATATGGAGAAAAACAGCATTTTGTTGAAAGCAGTACATAATTTTGATAATTCTAGCAGGTTCAAGTAATCACTAATTTAATAAGAAAAGAGCAAAACTTTTAAAGGTGGTTGGCTGAGAAATAATAAAAGAGGTCATGCTACTCTGCTGGTTTTACTCCTGAAAATTTTCTGTGTAAAGCAATTCTGCTGATGAATTGTTTTACAGCCTTTTTCAATGAACACGAGTGTTTAATGGTGATTTCTTTCACATATTCTATGTACTACAATTTGATATACACATAATTCTTCAACAATATATCATTATTTTTTAATTGTGGCATTACCAAATGAGTATGCTTCCAAGTGTACTAAGAAACAACTCTCCTTAATTATAACTATTCTACATTTATGAAAGCAAGTTATAAAATGTGGATATCAAAACTTCCAGTAAGGTATTACCTGATATATTAATTTTCCAAGGGCTGTTATCACCAATTACCACAAACTTAGTGGCTTAAAACCACAAAAATATATTCTCTTACAGTTCTGGAGGCTAAAAGTATGAAATCAAGATGTTGGCAGGGCTCTGTACCCTCCAGAGCCTCTAGAGAAGAATCTTTGTAGTTTCTAGCGGTTGGTGGCAATCCTTGGTATTCTTAGCATGAAGCTGCCTCATTCCAATCTCTGCCTCCATTGTCACATGGCCTTCTTCTGTGTGTGTTTATGTCTCCTGAATGGCCCACCCTAATTCAGTATGACATCATACAAACTAATTACATCTGCAAAGATTCTACTTCCAAATAAGGTCAACATTCACAGGTACTGGAGGTTAGTACTTGAGAACTTGTTTGGGGGTTCTGGCAGGAGAGTGCAGCTATTCATATACCCTTGACCGAAGATGGGTCCTCCTCTATTGGATATGGTCCTCCTCTTCGACACAGCGCAAAGCTTTGGGAGGGACACACATGGAGCAGTGAGGGAGGAAAGGAACACCCATCTAGCCAGCCAGATCAGCCAAATCAACCCTGGTGATCAATGGGATGACAGATGTTGCAGCCAGATTGCCTCACATCCAGTTAGTACTTGAATATATATATTGGGGGGACACAGTTCATCCCACTACACCCAGTGAGAACTAATAATCAAAGTACGGTTCCTGACTACTAAAGGATTCTGAAATATCTGAATTGCCCTTCCTCCAAGAGTAATTTGTGTTTTACATAATTTTTACATAATAGAATATTATATTACATAATTTTAAAAGTTGAGAATTCCTCTGTGATAAAGGTATATACAACATTATTGTGTGGTATATTCAAGAAATATTTATTCAATTTCTATTATATGAAAACAATGTGAAGAGGACTCTCTCTTAACCAGACTATCTGTTTAAACAGAGCACCTCACTCTTCCATTGATTTTTACAAGCAAAAGTTTATAATCTTTCCTTTATATTAGTGCTTTTCTTCAAGGATCAATTGCTATTTTTGGTATATTAATTGTGGACAAGTCTTCTCAGGTGGATTCAATCTCTTTCTGCAGCTTTTCATTGAGGTTAGGGGTCAATTGCTGACTCCTTTATAAATTATTTCCATGTTTTCAGAAAAGAAACTACTGTATGTCAAGCACAATGGTAAACATTTTATAAAAGTTAGCTCATTCAGACCTCATAACCTTGGGAGTTATGTTTTATGATAGTCTCGTTTTATGGGTGAAAATACTGATACTCTGAAAGGGTCCAAAATCAGACAGCTATTAAGTGGTAGACCCGGGATGTGAATCCACATGTGCCTGTTGCTAAAGCACCTCTCTTTGGAAGAAAACACAGTGTGCCTGGCTGCATGCTGTTACTTCCTTGGCTGTCTTACTCCCTGACCTGTCCGGGAATGTTTTTTGTACCGCTTCAGCTCTGCCGATTTTGTCATGTTTCTATACCTCTACTAAGTGACTTCTGGTTCCTAGGAAGATGCATTGCCTACATGATTTGGTTAAGAACTTGGAAACTTGCATTAATCAGGAGAGAGCAGAATGTATCATCTCTTAAAAAATCCTTATAAATGGGTTCCCTGAGAAAACCAAAGCAGGGTACCATAGTAGTTTAGATGTGAGAAAACAAGTGCTAGAGTCTGAGCACAGGCATAGGAGTTAGTTTTAGAATGCTGTGAGCAAGACCAGAAATCTTGCTCACAGTTAATCAGTACTAATATGCAGTGGCTGTTTAGGGGCCTATCCCACACCAGGAGGTGGCTGATGATACTGATTAAGCAGGAAAGAAGCACTGAAAATCTCATGCCTAAATTTGTAGCTATCATGGCCCAAAAGTATTGTATCCCTTCTCAGCTTGTTTGGGTAAGGTTTTGCTTCTCTGCCTTTATCATGCGACTTCTCTGCTTCTCACTAGTTTTCTGAAAGCAGCTGAATGGTTGTCTTATGTATGTGTCCTGTCAGCCCAACTAGACAGCAAGATCATTGAGGAGGGTCTTTCTCTTACTATATTGTTGTGTTGCCAAAGGTGCTTGTAGAGCTCTTCATTCAATCCCCAGTCCTTGACACTCAGAGAGGGCTGCATCTGATGAGCACAAATGAATGGGAAATTTGTTATTGACAAGCTGGGTGAGTAATTTTATCCAAGTTAAAAATTTTGCTTTGCTATGAAAAGACATGCTTTGTTCACACCCAACATCTTGTCATTCAATAAAAGATCTCACAGCCTTTATAATTTATGTGAAGCTCAAATGCCAGATGACTGGTTCATGGCCAATTCCATTGTTAGGAGATATATGCAGAATTGGTATTTAGTGCTGTTTAGTTGAGATTCCTGCTTCTTTGTCAGGATCTTTCTTTCTTTTCTCTTTTTTTAGTTCTAGGTATTGACAATAGAATCTGATGTGGAAGTCAGACTTCTGTGACTCCAAAATCATATATATTCTAAAACCCAGGCTGAAAACAAACCTACTTCAGTGCTCTGTTTTCTAATTGTCCTTTCCTTTTCCAATCAGAAAAAAGATGAATTAGCATTTTATGGTGTCTATTAGTACGGGACCAGTCAAGTCACAAAAGTTCACCAGGCAGAGGAATTTCCACCCTGGCATAACAATGAACTTCCCCTGGGTCCTAAGCTGTCCCAAGTGAAATAAGAATTAAGAAACCCCACTTGAATCACCACCCTGGCTCAGCAGTGTCTAAAACTTATGATCTTTACCAGAAAACCTACCCTTCTCTTGTCACCTGTCAATTCTGGGGTTATAGGAAGGGCTAGCTTATAGGGACCTGTCTCCTCTTGTTACCTTTAGCTGAGCTTCAGCTGCAACAACCACTTACCTTAATATTTTTCAATTATTTATTTCCTTCCTAGTCCTCATAGCAAGCCTATGGGAGAGGTTTATTTTGCTAGCTCATCTATAGATAAATCAAAGGTTTGGTTGCTAAATATGGCATGACAATTTAAGGAGAACCAGTCATTTATCCACTGAGGGCTGATAATTTATTATTACTAGATTATTCACCTGTTTGTTGAATAAACAAGCATTTGTGGCGTGCTTGCTATGTGTTCTGAAAAATGACATTTGCTTGATGTTTTGCAGTTTCCAGAACATAAAGTGCACTAATTTCTTTGTTTTGTTTGCAGTTCTATAAGATAAGCATGATTATCTCTATTTTCCAGATGTAAAAACTGAGGTTCAGATCCCAAAGACTTTACGGGGATAGGACTGTCATTCAAGATTAAGCTAGGATGAGTGCAGAAGATTATTAGATGCCTTCTGTTGGCACTGTTCTGAAGACTCATTAATGATAAATGACCCAGGCCTGGACTTATGGGGCTAAATGTTTAATATGCATGTAATTATAGAGTTTGCATATAACTTAGTATCCAAACAGGACACTTTTTGCTGTTATTGTGGAGACGGAGTCTTGCTCTGTTGCCCAGGCTGGAGTTCAGTAGCGTGATCTCAGCTCACTGCAACTCTCACTTCTTGGGTTCAAGTGATTCTCCTGTCTCAGTCTCCCAAGTAGATGGGATTACAGGTGTGTGTCACCATGCCTGGCTAATTTTTGTGCTTTTTTTTTTTTTTTTTTTTTTTTTTTAGTAGAGATGGAGTTTTGCCATGTTGCCCAAGCTGGTCTTGAACTCCTGACCTCAGTTGATCTGCCAACCTCAGCCTCCTAAAGTGCTGGGACTACAGGCGTGAGCTACTGCACCCAGCCAGGACACTTTTAGTAAGGAAAAGAGGTGCTATAATTATACCAGGACAACTGGTGCCACCTGGGATGGATGATTATTCTACTCCCTGCCACTTTCCCTTATCTCTCAGCCTGTTTGCTCAAGGAGAAAACAATGACTCTCTGGAGACATTTGCCTTCACAGAACTGGGCATAGCCAATGAGTGTGAAAGTGGGGGCACAGACAGATTGAGGCAGAGGGGCAGGAATGAGGGAGCAGGGAACAGTATCTGGGCTGACTTACATACTAACCAGGTTGCCAGAGGTGAACTCAAATGGAGGGATGGGGGCTGCCGTGGGGGTGAGCAGCTGGGCTGTGGCTATCTCCCTGTTGTTTATTTGAAGCTGCAAGAGGAAAGAGGGAAAATGAGCAGACTATCTCTCCTCTGGACAAAATCAGCCCATCTGGTTTCACATTGCCTTCCAGTGAAAACCAGCCCTGTAGGTCATGAAAATTCCCAAGATGGTTTTCAGGTTTTTTTTTTTTTTTTTAATTTTTGGCTGGGTGTCTTTTTGATACATTCCCCACCCCCAACCAGGAATTTATTCTCTGGTGAAATTGTTTAATATTATTAAAAGGATTATTCCCCAATCACTAGCAGCTTAGGCTTGTAGCTCCCAGTGAAGGTGCAGAGAACAAGAGGACGCCACACTTTCAGATGAATTTTTGTTGCTGATGGACCAGGAGATTCCCAGCGGAGAAGCCCCACGGGTCACCAGCGCAGCTCTTGTGGCTGGTGCAGTGGTTTTGCTGACGCCCTGGCACGGCAGTTCTTGGTGCAGAGTAAACGGGACTGGGTCCCCTTTTGGCCGACATTTGGAGCTCTGGGAAGGCAGAGTCACCCATTCAGCTGATTGAAGAAGGGATTCAGGAGGAAAGCCAGACTGGAGACTCCCAGGCAGAAAAGCACCAAGAATCTTGACTCCACTGTTTTATCCGGCGCAGTGGGTTGCTCAGATTTCGGTGCTAGGAATTAACAAGTTGGATGTCCACTCAGAGACCTAATTTGAAAGTCAGTAATTACAAAGATGACAGGTGGATAAATTTACAATGGCGGGAAGAAACCAGCATAAAAAGGCTGAGAATACTCAAAATCAGAATGCCTCTCCCTCTACAGAGGATCACAGTTCCTCATCAACAACAGAACAAGGGATAATGAGTGCATTCCAATAACAGAATTATGCTTCAGAAGGTGAATAATAAGAAACTTCTGTGAGTTAAAAGAACATGTTCTAGCACAATGTAAAGAAACTAAGAACATTGAAAAAAGATTTGATGCAATTCTAATGAGAATAGACAATTTAGAGAGGAATATAAGTGAATTAATGGAACTGAAGAATACAATACGAGAACTCCACAAAGTATGCACAGGTTTTAACACTCGAATTGATCAAGCAGAAGAAAATATATCAGAGGTCGAAGACCAACTTAATGAAATAAAATGAGAAGACAAGATTAGAGAAGAAAAATTAAAAAGGAATGAGTAAAGTCTCCAAGAAATATGGGACTATGTGAAAAGACCTAATTTATATTTGATAGGTGTACCTGAATGTCATGAAGAGAATGAATCCAAGCTGGAAAATATTCTTCAGGATATTATCCAGGAAAACTTCCCTAACCTAGTAAGGCGGGACAATACTCAACTCCAGGTAATACAGAGAACACCACAAAGATATTCCTCAAGTAGAGCAACCCCAAGGCACATAATCATTAGATTCACCAGGGTTGAAATAAAGGAGAAAATTCTAAGGGCAGCTAGAGAGAAAGGTCAGGTCACCCATAAAGGGAAGCCTATCAGACTTACAGCAGACCTCTCAGCAGAAACCCTACAAACTAGAAGAGAGTGGGGGTCAATATTCAATATCCTCAAAGAAAA